TGACTGAGACCTTTTCCCATGCCCTAATTTTGCCGTCATCCCTTATCTCAAAAAAAGATAGGCGAATTAGTGACAAAGTGGATGATAAAACTAATGTTCAAAGAAAGCCTCACACTTTCTTCTGCTATGCCATCTTTTAGTGAAAAATATGACCCATTATCGAGATCCGGCTGCCACAAGATTGTTTGCTCATGTGGTCGATGTTATGTTGGTTAGACATGTCGACCTATTCGACAAAGATTGGTAGAACACAAAAATGCTTGCAAGGGTAGCTGGATCCAACGGTCAGAAGTGGCCGAACACATGGTAGAAACTGGACATTAAATAAACTGGTCTCAAACTAGTAGGTTTGCTGATTATGGTACGTCTGGTTAAAAGAAAGATAAGCGAGGCTATTGAAATGAATAGCCTAGGAAATACGTTGAATGTGAAGAACGGAGGTAGAAAGTTGAGTATGAATCACTTATGCTTGAATGATAAAATGAAAGAGAGAGTGTTGAGCCACTGTCAAAAAGAAGGCGACTGAATTTGTCTACTCAGTGATGGTTCTAACTTCACTCACACTCGCCCAACATGGTAGATTAAGCTCATCAAACAAACGAGACGTGTCGGATTACGTAGCCTCAGTCATGCCTTTCCAAGGGGGTTTAAATGTTAATGACTCTAGACTGATAGGTTAGCACAAGTGGTTTCGTAGCTTAACTTAACTTGCATGCTTACAAGCTTACATATAATTATCTTAACCATACTTGCTTAGGGACTTGCGCAGTCTCGGTCAATGCTTTTTTTAAGGTCATTAGGCCTTGATGATCAGAGCCTAAAATTAACCTTTTGATAACTCTGATTTATGACCGGTAATGCGTATAGACGCTAACACACACACGTACACACTCGAGCAAAAGTAGTGGGACCAGTATGAAAGAAAATGAGCCAGACAACTCTATAACTATCTAGGTTTTTAATTATCTTTTGGATTAACTGAGTCTATATAAGATGTAAGACAAAGCCGGATAGTCTTCTTGGTCTAGTTCTAACGTAGGACTTTTACAAGAATGACACCCAGTTCTGATGATGGACGAAAGCTCAGCACGTTTTCACCC